ATGGCCCTCCAGACAGCCCAGCTCCTCGTTAAGCACGTCTTCCGCTTACACGGCATCCCCCAGGAGATCCTCTCGGACCGGGGTCCTCAGTTCATATCCCAGGTTTGGAAGGCATTCTGTTCTGCACTCGGCTGTAAACCCTCTCTGACATCAGGTTACCATCCACAATCTAACGGACAAACAGAGAGGATGAACCAGCAGCTAGAATCAACCCTTCGTTGCCTCACATCCAACAATCCCGTCGACTGGAGCCAATATCTTACATGGATCGAATATGCACACAACTCCCTCAAATCTGCTTCCACTGGACAATCTCCCTTTCAGGTTAGTCTCGGCTAACAACCTCCACTTTTCCCCGAAGACGAGAGAGAGATTTCGGTCCAGTCAGTGAATCACCACATCAGACGCTGTCAGAAGATCTGGAGAGAAACCATCGCAACCCTCAACCGATCTTCTGAAACCAACAAACGCTTCGCTGACTCCAGAAGACGTCCCGCCCCCGAGTACACTGAAGGCCAAGAGGTATGGCTGTCCACTCGAGACATTCCCCTCAAGGGGATGTCTCGAAAACTCTCACCCAAATTTATAGGCCCCTACAAGATCTCCCGAGTCATCAATCCTTCAGCCGTCCGTCTCCAACTGCCTCAGTCCCTCCAAATTCACCCAACCTTCCACGTATCCCAAATTAAACCTGTCATCTCAAGTTCTCTGTGCCCGCCTTCCGACTCCCCACCACCCGCCCTGGAGGTCGATGGTCATCCCGCCTTCACCGTTCGACGCATCGTGGACTCCCGTCGACGAGGTCGCGGCTGGCAGTACCTCGTCGACTGGGAGGGCTACGGACCGGAGGATCGCCAGTGGGTTCCGTGCTCGTACATCCTCGACCCTGCCCTAATCGAGGAGTACGAGCGTTCCTGCCCTTCGACCTCTTCCGGACCGCCAAGGGGCGGTCGTTGAGGGGGGGTACTGTTGGGAGCTGGAGAAGTTCCACCTTTCTCCAGCAGAGTCCGCCGTGGATCCTTCTGAGTGAGCCTCCTGCACAGCTGCAGCCCATCAAGATCATCAGAGGATCCACTATATAAGCTGTCTTCAGACCTTGCCTCAACGCCGCAGTGTTGATCCAGTTGGTCAGCGCCTAAGCCTAGACTCTCAGTGAATCTATGTGACTTTGAATCCAGCCTGGATTCTAACCGTTGTCTCTATCTTCCAGGAAACCAGTGTCTCCTCTGTGAAGCTCTGGAAGAGCTAACCTGCCGAGCCGACCCTCAGAGCCAAACCCGAAGAACCACAGTGAACTTCCATGCAGCTCAGGACTAAGAGCTGAAAAACCATAAGTCAAGGTCTGCTCAGTACTAGACGTAAGACGCTGAAGCAGCAAGCGGACTCTGCTGATCAACTCTCTCCAGATCCAACAGTGACCCTCCCAAAGCTAACCTCAAGAACCCTCAAGGTACAATCAGTAATAATCAAGGAAGCAAGCTCCATCGTACAACGCTAACTGAACTGTCTCTCACGCAGACTCCGGTGAACCAGTATCCAGGCCCGAACCAGAACCAGTATTATCAGTGTGCTTGTGTTCAAATAAACTTGTTGAACTTTTATTCCTGTGTCCGTCAGTGGTGTTCTGCATAATTGGGTCACTCTTAGAGTACCCATCATGACAGATGTATGAAAGTTATTTTGTTTGTGCATTGTACTTGTGAATTTGAATTAGTAGAGAGAGTTACATTATAAGTTTTTTATTTGTAGAATAAAAAAAAAAATCTGAAATACATTTTTTTTACACCTGCTCAAATTTCAATGCACAAAACTATTTGTGCACTGTAACTTTGGTGTTTTCACTTTCACTTACCATGTTATAGCAGAATATCACAACTGATATTTATTAAAAAGCAGAAAACATGAGCATTTGCTTCAAAACAGGACATGTGTTTGAACTGTAGCAAAACTGAATGGCAGACATTTTTTATGTGCAACTCACAGAACACAATCTGTGTGCTTGTACTCAAGAACTTTTTTTTGTAATTTTAACAGATTAAAAAACATCTACAGTTGCAAAACACCAAAGTTACAATGCACAAAAAGTTTAGCAACAATAGTTCTGAACCATTTGAAGCAAAACTGAGAATGTAAGAAGTTTTTGATGTGCAACTTGTAGAACAGAATGTGTGTTTGGACAGGTGTGTTTAATGCAACAAATACAAAACTTAGACTGTAACTCTCTCTAGAAATTCACACTCACAATGCATTTATAGTTTTGAAACAAAACCTTCATACTATGACCCTAAAAACCTTCCATTTTCACAATAATGGGCCATGCGCCTGATAATCCTGTGCTCTTTATGGTGCAGAGAATATTGTATATTGTCTCATTACATGGAAAAACAACCAGAGAAGGAGTGAATCCGAAACAGGCGCGCTATTCACTGGTGTGTTCCTCTCAGTTGAAATGACAGTCTGAGGATGCACCACATAGACTGTCATTCAGAACCAGTCATACTTAGGGGCGAGTACAAAGCCCTTGCTCTGTACATACCAAACATCTATACATGCAAAACCTGCCTTGTTTTCTGGATGGAGGAAACGCCATGACAGTGTGTGGTGCAGTTATGTCCACAGAGATCAGTACTAACTGTCTGAGGTAAAGTTACTTCATATTTTTGTCTGTTTATGGTAAAGTGCCATTAGAAAAAAGGCTCAATAAAACAGGCCTGAGGTCTTTCTGTGGAGTTTAACTCACCTAAAAATCCTTTTTTTAAAGCCACTTAACCATAACTGTAACTATATAAATCTGACTTATTCTCATTTTCTCTTGGAGAAATCTAAAAACATCCAACAAGTCAGTATCTATACCTTCACCCTTCTTTAAGTGACTCAACAACAGCAAATAACTCAATTTGGAGGAACATCTAAGTCGATGGCGGTTTCTATGTCTGAGTCAAATGAGCTTGAAGCACATAAAACAGGTGAGGAGTTGTCCAGTGGGCAGGAGGTTGCATCAGCTGAGTAGGGAAGGACAGGGGTTTGATCAGGCTGGGCAGGTGCAGAGTTAAAGATGACCTTGATGGAGCTTTTGTCCTGAATGTCTGACATTGAGACCAAGTTGGTGAATTCATTTCCAAACTCAACATCCATGAATTGAAGTCTGAAGTCCCCATCTACTCCGCACTTTCTCTTCATTTCCTGTATGAGTCCCATGACAGTTTCCAGCATCCCATCTGGAAGAATCAATCTCTGAGTTCTTTTCCCCAAGAATGATTGGTAGTTTCACTGGAAGAGCCATTTCACATCCCCCTGAATGAGGAAAGATGATTAAAATAAAGATTCATTTTCATTGATTGTCTTAAAGGTACATGGACAGTGTGGGCATGGGTAACGTTGAATATGCTGGTGTTGAAGTCTAAAATGTTTTAGCAGCTCATATCTACAGACAGAGAGAGACTCCACTCCTTACAGTTCCACATCCCCACGCAAATAAAGAGAAATGAAACAGACTGGCCAGATACAAGTTGAGCTGAACCCTAGCTTTATAAGCGCTCTAACACTAGATTCACTTACTTTTAGATATGGCAAAACTTACTAGCCACTGAAATCTAGAACTTGATGGCCGATGACCCCCTTCACCAGGACTCATGCAGGTGGATAACAGACAGGTGAGGTTCTGAAAGAGATCAGATACATTTTCAACCATTAAAATATGTTCTTCATCCTGAGCAGAGCTGTATCTGAACATGTATTCAAACGTATATTACAAGTCTCTTGAATGCATAATGAATATAACCACTGGACACATCCAAGCATGCATGTGCAGAACAGTGGTGAATTGAACATGGTAGAAAGCAATAGTAACGTAGGCCCAAATGAGCACAGAAAATCAAAACTAAAACCTCAACATTTCAAAATTAAACCAATGAACTTCAAAAGTTTACTAGAATTATTTGGAGAAAAACAAGTACAATAATAAAATACATCTTTACAGCAGACAAATATGTATTTAAAAAGAAAGAAAGCGCAAGTATGTTCATGCAGTAGTAGGAATAATGGACAATCCAATGAGTGTTTCAGCCAGAAAATTAATAATAGAACTCCAAAGCTAACAGGTATATTTGTGTGGAGATTGATGGTTCATTTAAAAAAGCTCTGACAGCAAAAGTTTCTACAGGTTTCACTGACTCAGATTGAAGACTTTTTATTACCCTAATAAATGAAGAATCTGTATGTTCAGAATGATGGAATCAGACAGAGAGTTATCAACAAATCCTGATATTTAAAGTAGAAAATAAAATCCAAAAAATAACATGTTTGAAAAATATTTTCCAACATTAACTGATAAAGCAATCTCTCCAGCAGGTTATGCATTTCTGAAAGTAAACAATAAAGAACTCTACAGCTAAAATATGGATTCTTTACTGTATTTTCACCTGATCTCCAATAGATCCAGTTCTTCATGGAGGGTAGAGGAACCAGAACATTTTCTCAGTAAGAGCAGCAATACTCTTATTAGAAGATTACTGAAGTGAAAGCAAACGGGTGAAGTAAAGTATATGGAAGCTCATTGGTAGAATTCCCTTATGACAGAAAGAAGGCCACGGTTCACACCATTTTATCATCCGGAGGGGGGGACACATTTAATTACAAAACCGAATTCATACAGCTGTCTTAAACACTTCATACATCCAGCAATGCATCGTCACAATTCAGTTATCCCCAAACCTTCAGTCCATTCTAGGCGGCATTTATAGTTTCCACATCGCATTACGTAACTGCACATGCACAGGAATATCATGTCGAAAGCTTACTGGAATTCACGTGTGCTGGTCGACACCAGCGGTTGATTTCACACTCAGAGGAAAGTTTATGCAGATGTTCTCTGTTTATGCCAAACCTCCTCATACATCATCTAATTGCGTACAAATAAAACATTAGGGACTTTATTATTGCTAAGACTCATACTTGACCTTCAGCATGTACTGTTTTGTTGCTAAGTAAGTATAGGGCCACGTGTGAGGATATATAAGGCAATAAAACTGCTTCTATAAGTATAACTCCTCCTACAAAGAAAATTATTTTCTAAAAGTTACTGCAGTAAATGTAACTAGTTACTATCCACCTCTGGCAGGTTGTTTTAGACCAAATCAGCTCATTAACATCATTTCTTTCTTCCTGTCTGACATGAAATCTAAACTAACTTTACTTTTTTAGATCAACTAAGATTGAAACTATTTCTGTAGATTTGTTCCTGAAAAGCCTCCATCTGAAGGTAATGGAACAGGATTTTATTGACTGATTATTTCAGATCCACTTCCAGCTTAGTTTCTGTGTCAGTCCATAGCTCCATGGTTCCCAGTACCAGACTGGGAGCTGGAACTGGAAACTGGTTCCTGTGGAGCAGCATGGAGTCCTGGGGCCTCATGCAGAGAAGAATGTGCAGCTTTCATTATCAAAGTTAGGGCCTAGGCCAGGCTTAAAGACATTTAGATTGACTTTGTTTGATCATCAATAAATCAAGAATAGTAACGTCTGAAATGTTGCATCAACTACAAAGAAATCTATTTTTATGTTCCCTTTACAGGAACCAAATGTTTGCTCTCAGACCTGATAACTGTGGATTATTCTGGATTATTTAGTTGGATAGTTTTAGGTGATAATTATTTCTGGTCTGTGGTGAAATAGTTCTGCATGTTTGTACCATCAGAGACCAGAGAGTGGAGAACTTTCTCTGATGGTCTGATTGGCAGCAGGAAGCTGCTGCAGGTTAATCATTGAAAATGTTGAAGTCATATAAAGTTCTAGCAGCTGATCTTTGATCTGTGAGCTGAACATTAAATCTGCTTTCAGAGTCACAGCAGCTTTCAGACTCAGAGGACCGACAGCAGAGAAGAAGTCCAGGAGTTTCTCTCCAACACAGACCTGGTCCAGACAGCAGAGCTGCAGAGTGAAGAAGTTCACAGAAGAAACTGAGTGAGTCCATCTTTGATTATTCACATCTCCAAGCTAAGACTTAGATTGAATGAATGAGACATGAGCCTGATCCCATCAGATTGTAGAGCAGCAGGCTGTAGTGAGTGTTGAGGAGCTGCAGGTTGTTCCCTACCATCAAATCAATCCCACTCTACACTTCCATCCCATCTGCTGCTGCTTTCTGCTCCAACAGACCAACTCTGACTGGAATGTTCTGTTGATCTCTGGGAAAACTCTCAGACTAGAGTTCTGACATCAGGTCCTGGTTCTGGACCGGACTCTGATACTGGACTCCAGTTGATCTTTAACTGGTTTTATGGCAGCTCAGAGTTCATGTGTGTTTGGAGCCTGTTGATAAAAGTGGAATAATGCTGACTCATCAGTCAGAGGTCCAGTCCCAACCGCCCTCCTGCCGCCTGCCGACTTTAACTCTGTGTTCCTGCTGAGGGTTCCAGTGCCTAGTCTGTCCCCATCCTCCAGAGCCGTATTTGGCCCCGCCCCCTATGGGCCCTAGATCCACACTTTAGCTAAGAGCGCATCAAAGCAGGTTTTGGTGAAGTGAATTTCCCACAATTCTTTGCTGCATGCTTTGATTAAAAAAGCAGAAATGTGGTGACGATCCAGCTCCTGTGCCGTTTGACTTCATTCATATAAAATTCCCTGTAAATCAGCCACAAATTACAGACAGATGTTTGTTTTTCTCTCTGTTGATATTTAATCAATAATTCTTCTCCAAAAGCTCCTGTTTAATTGATCATCCAGGAGATAATCTGAGACAAAAAGTCCATTTTCATTAAAGATTGGTGAGTAAGGGAATAGAGATATTAATGGAAGTTTTTATATTATCTAACCAACCTTAATAAGCATAATCTCAGGTATAATAAAATATGCAAAACCAAACATCAGCCCTTAAATTCAGTTAACTAAAGTCACTCTGTTTGAATTGGTCACATTTTCTAAACCTTACAAAAGGAAATAGAAATATTTACGACACAAACTAGATAATAAATGTTTGATTTGATAATTAATCTGTCATTAAAACTTATTCAATCAAAAAAAGGACCCTGTATAGAAAAAATACCTCATTTACTAACAGTGGCCCTCAGTAATACTAACTTTAAATAAATTAAATGACCCATTTCTCCAAGAAATAAACTCAAAAATACCAAACCAACCAAAAGATGTTGGTGATAAATATTAAGGAATATATTTACATTTGAAGTAGTTGAATTTTCTTCAGTTAAAAGGGAAATGTTTGCCTTTATTTCCTGTTTATCCTCTAAAGTTTTCTGGACTTCAGTTAGACGATTAGTGATCATGATTGATAACATTTCAAATTCTAAATGAGCTCATAGATTCTACATTCACAGTCTAAGTCGCTCCTTTTCATTCTCTAATATTTATTGCTGGAAATGGAAAGTAGTCACAGCTTCTTAAAATAATTTTTAAATTATTTTTAGAAAATTCTCCAATATCAAAACAATGAAAACATAAATATGTTCTGACATGTCTGAATACTATTTTCCTAAATTCTTTATTTTCATTTTCTTTCTTCTTGCATTTCCATCCAGTCAGATTCATTATAACATAGATTTTCTTGTATATTCTAGCGTGTATTTTTCTAATTTAGGATGTTTTACACACACTGCATGAAATGTGGGATTTTCATCAATATGCGGCACTGTAGATTTTCGTGGAAGTTGAGGTTAACGGCAGTTTACGGTAATTTGCAGGCTTCGCCGAAAACTCCCATAAATTGTCAGATATTGAGGTGGACTTTCTTAGGCAGTGTTCCCCCCATGCCTCCCCCCGATGGAATTCTAGGGGAGGCTTTAACATGTAAATGAAAATGCTGTGAGCTATACAAATGCAAACCAGGGTTGCAGGGAGAGTTTTACCCCAAGTGACATTTTTCTAAAGGGTAAGAAAATCTCTGATACAAAGAGATCATCACAACAGGTGATGTTAACAGTGCAGTCGGAGAGGAGACTGTGGAGCAGAACAGGTGATGTTAGCAGTACAGGAGGAGAGGAGACTGCGGAGCAGAACAGGTGATGTTAGCAGTACAGGAGGAGAGGAGACTGCGGAGCAGAACAGGTGATGTTGGCGCTGCAGGAGGAGAGGAGGCTGCGGAGCAGAACAGGTGATGTTAGCGGTACAGGAGGAGAGGAGGCTGTGGAGCAGAACAGGTGATGTTAGCGGTGCAGTCGGAGAGGAGGCTGCGGAGCAGAACAGGTGATGTTAGCGGTACAGGAGGAGAGGAGGCTGCGGAGCAGAACAGGTGATGTTAGCGGTGCAGTCGGAGAGGAGGCTGCGGAGCAGAACAGGGGATGTTGGCGGTGCAGGAGGAGAGGAGGCTGTGGAGCAGAACAGGTGATGTTAGCGGTGCAGGAGGAGAGGAGGCTGCGGAGCAGAACAGGTGATGTTAGCAGTACAGGAGGAGAGGAGGCTGCGGAGCAGAACAGGTGATGTTAGCGGTGTAGGTGGAGAGAAGGCTACGGAGCGGAACAGGTGATGTTAGCGGTGCAGGTGGAGAGGAGGCTGCGGAGCAGAACAGGTGATATTAGCTGTGCAGGTGGAGAGGAGGCTACGGAGTGGAACAGGTGATGTTAACGGTGCAGTCGGAGAGAAGGCTGCGGAGCAGAACAGGGGATGTTGGCGGTGCAGGAGGAGAGGAGGCTGTGGAGCAGAACAAGTGATCGTAGTGGTGCAGGAGGAGAGGAGGCAATGAAGCAGAAAAGGTGATTGTAGCGGTGCAGGAGGAGAGGAGTCTGTGGAGCAGAATATGTTATCGTAGTGGTGCAGGAGGAGAGGAGGCAATGAAGTAGAACAGGGGATGTTAGCGGTGCAGGAGGAGAGGAGGCTGTGGAGCAGTACAGGGGATTGTAGCGGTGCAGGAGGAGAGGAGGCAATGAAGTAGAACAGGGGATGTTAGCGGTGCAGGAGGAGAGGAGGCTGTGGAGCAGTACAGGGGATTGTAGCGGTGCAGGAGGAGAGGAGGCTGTGCAGCAGAACAGGTGATGTTAGCGGTGCAGGAGGAGAGGAGGCTGTGCAGCAGAACAGGTGATGTTAGCGGTGCAGGAGGAGAGGAGGCTGTGGAGCAGTACAGGTGATCGTAGCGGTGCAGTAGGAGAGGAGGCTGTGGAGCAGAACAGGTGATGTTAGCGGTGCAGGAGGAGAGGAGGCTGTGGAGCAGTACAGGTGATCGTAGCGGTGCAGTAGGAGAGGAGGCTGTGCAGCAGAACAGGTGATGTTAGCAGTGCAGGAGGAGAGGAGGCTGTGGAGCAGTACAGGTGATCGTAGCGGTGCATTAGGATAGGAGGCTGTGGAGCAGAACAGGTGATGTTAGCGATGCAAGATGAGAGGAGGCTGCGGAGCAGAACTGGTAATGTTAGCGGTACAGGAGGTGAGGAGGCTACGGAGCAGAACAGGTGATGTTAGCGGTACAGGAGGAGAGGAGGCTGCGGAGCAGAACAGGTGATGTTAGCGGTGCAGTCGGAGAGGAGGCTACGGAGCAGAACAGGGGATGTTGGCGGTGCAGGAGGAGAGGAGGCTGTGGAGCAGAACAGGTGATGTTAGCGGTGCAGGAGGAGAGGAGGCTGCGGAGCAGAACAGGTGATGTTAGCAGTACAGGAGGAGAGGAGGCTGCGGAGCAGAACAGGTGATGTTAGCGGTGCAGGAGGAGAGGAGGCTACGGAGCAGAACAGGTGATGTTAGCAGTACAGGAGGAGAGGAGGCTGCGGAGCAGAACAGGTGATGTTAGCGGTGTAGGTGGAGAGAAGGCTACGGAGCGGAACAGGTGATGTTAGCGGTGCAGGTGGAGAGGAGGCTGCGGAGCAGAACAGGTGATATTAGCTGTGCAGGTGGAGAGGAGGCTACGGAGTGGAACAGGTGATGTTAACGGTGCAGTCGCAGAGAAGGCTGCGGAGCAGAACAGGGGATGTTGGCGGTGCAGGAGGAGAGGAGGCTGTGGAGCAGAACAAGTGATCGTAGTGGTGCAGGAGGAGAGGAGGCAATGAAGCAGAACAGGTGATTGTAGCGGTGCAGGAGGAGAGGAGTCTGTGGAGCAGAATATGTTATCGTAGTGGTGCAGGAGGAGAGGTGGCAATGAAGTAGAACAGGGGATGTTAGCGGTGCAGGAGGAGAGGAGGCTGTGGAGCAGTACAGGGGATTGTAGCGGTGCAGGAGGAGAGGAGGCTGTGCAGCAGAACAGGTGATGTTAGCGGTGCAGGAGGAGAGGAGGCTGTGGAGCAGTACAGGTGATCGTAGCGGTGCAGTAGGAGAGGAGGCTGTGGAGCAGAACAGGTGATGTTAGCGGTGCAGGAGGAGAGGAGGCTGTGGAGCAGTACAGGTGATCATAGCGGTGCAGTAGGAGAGGAGGCTGTGCAGCAGAACAGGTGATGTTAGCGGTGCAGGAGGAGAGGAGGCTGTGGAGCAGTACAGGTGATCGTAGCGGTGCAGTAGGAGAGGAGGCTGCGGAGCAGAACTGGTAATGTTAGCGGTACAGGAGGTGAGGAGGCTACGGAGCAGAACAGGTGATGTTAGCGGTACAGGAGGTGAGGAGGCTACGGAGCAGAACAGGTGATGTTAGCGGTACAGGAGGTGAGGAGGCTACGGAGCAGAATAGGTGATGTTAGCGGTACAGGAGGTGGAGAGGCTACGGAGCAGAACAGGTGATGTTAGAGGTGCAGGAGGAGAGAAGGCAGTGGAGCAGAACAAGTGATCGAAGCGGTGCAGGTGGAGAGGTGGCTGTGGAGCGAAACAGGTGATCGTAGTGGTGCAGGAGGAGAGGAGGCTGCTGAGAAGAACATGGCGGAGGTGAAGGACAGAGAACTTTTTACTTCCCTCCCTCCTTCACAGGACACAGTTTCTGGTCCTCCAGCCTGTCATGTTCTCCTCTGATGTCATTCAGAGTTTCTAGCTGGACTCATGTACCAGACATGTTCACAAGTCATTTTTTGCAAGTCCAAGTCAAGTCTCAAGTCTTGAGAGCTCAAGTCC